GAAAAAAGGTGGAAAGGGGTTTTTTTTTTTTTTTTTTTTGGGCTTTAAAAAAAAAGGAAAAAAAAAACCCCCCCCCCCCCAAATTGTTCATTTCATATCTGGGAGAAAAAAATACTACTGAAGTATCTAAGAACTGTTTACCTACACTTTTCGGGGAGAAATTAAAAATAACTAGTACTGAGTATCAGAGGGTTGAATGCATATTTGGGAAGTAATATTCTTAAGGAGAATCAAGATCCACTGGAGTCTCAAAATTGTTCTGTAATATTATTCCATGTCATCGCTACTAAGATACATTATTAACCTTTGTTTTTATATACTTTATTGTTTTGTATGGTATAATATAATGAGCATTCATTCTTTAATGTTTATTGAGCACCTATGACATGCCAGACACTTTCTAGGTTCTAGAGAGACGTGAACCAAGAGACAAAAATTCTTACCCTTATTATAGCTTATATTTTACTTTATGACTAGGCAGACAATAAATGAATAAGTAAAATATCAGTATAACTTATGGTAAGAAATGCTTTAGAGAAAAATAAGGCAGGAAAGGGGGATAGTGAATACTGGTGGCAGGAAGCATTTCTTCCCTTATTTTAAATAGGGTGGTTAAGAAGCTGTTATTTAAGCAAAGACCTGAAGATGGTGAGGGAACATGCCATGAAGATATCTGGGGGAAAGGAAGAGTGTTCCAGGGAAAGGGCACAATTAATACAAAGGTGCCAATGTGGGGATGTGCCTGCGGTCTGAGGAACAGCAAGGAGGCCAATATGATGGGAACAGAGAGAGCAAGAGGAGGTGAAATCAGAGGAATATCAGGGAGCTAAATTGTAGACTGGATTAAGAAAGAATACTTCGGGGCAAGGTCTGGATTCAGGAGTCATTGGTGCACACATAGCATTTAATGCCATTAAAACTAGATGAGGTCTCCTGGGGCCTGAGTGTAGACAGAGAAAAAGAGAAGAAGCAAAAATGGAGGCTTATGGCACTCCAATATGAAGAGGTGGATGGGGAGAGATGAGGAACAATTACCAAGATCTGAGAAAGAGCAGACAGAGAGGTAGAAGGGAAACCAGGAGAGCAAGTATCCTGGAAGCCACGGGAAGACAGCGGGTCAGGAGGACAAACGTCAAATGTTGCTGATAGGCCAAGAAGGACAAGGCCTGGGATCTGATCACTGGACTTAGCCATATGAAGGTCAGTAGTGACTTGACAAGAGCTGTTAGTAGTGATGGTAGGACTGTAACCCTGACTAGAGTTGGGGGGTAGGGAGAATGGGTCAAGAGAAAAAAGAATAGGAGAAAATGGAGAAAGTGAGTACAGACAACTCTTTCTAGGAGTTTTGCTGTCAGGGGAAGCAGAGAATACGGGCAGAAGCTGGAGGGCTGGAGGGGGTTGTAGGGTCAAGAGAAGGTATATATGTGTGTTTATATGTATATAATAAAAATAAACTACAGCATGTTAGATCCAACAGAGGTAGAAAACTGATGATGTAGGAAAGGAGAAAGCTGTCGGAGCAATGTCGTGTAGTAAGTGAAAGGGATAGGATCTAATGTACAAATGAAAGGGTCATAGTAGGCTGTATTAAAATCCTGGTTCCACCACTGACAACTTTTGTGACTTGGGGCAAGATTCTTAACCTCTTTGAGCAATAGTTTTCTTAACTGTGAAGTGTGAATTTCCTGGAATTATTAAACTGAATAATGTCTTAATCAAATAGCAGTTTCACTGATGTCCCAAATTAAAATATTCCTTAATATTCATTGGCAAGATGGGATAAAAAAAGAATTTTAAAAATTCATATCTAGTATCTATTGAAAAATAGTTAATTATGTAAACCACACAGTCACAGTTATTTATTATAACGTGGCTATTATTTCAGTCATTCATGTTGCATATCTTTGGAACAATCTCAGCAGAGAACAAATAGGGCTTCCTCCCTGAAATATTCTGTCTTAATCCATTTTTGTACCCTCTCTCTGATAGCTGAATGACACTCAGATGGTATATCCTCCACTCAGATGTCTACAGATGAAGTGCAGGAACAGCAAACAAGATGAACAAAACTAACAAAAAATGCTCAGAAAAAAGAAAAGGTAAATGGGCCACCTCCTGGAGCAATATATTCCTGTGGCTGGAAGTGTTCAAACAAAGTGTAGACGGTGACTTAAGAGCTCACGTACCTTAAGCCATGGGTGATTCAGTGCTTCATAAACAGTGATCCTTTCAGCAGGATCCAGCATCAGCATGCGACGTACTAGGTCTTTGGCACTTTCAGAGATATGGCTCCACTGCCTTGGATTCATCTGAGGCGGAGGAAGGGAACATTACACAATTATCTTCAGTGAGAAGTTAACATTCACTATTATTTAATATTCCTATACTGCTTCAATGTGAATACAATTCTCAGAGCAAAGAGCAGAAATTTGACTCTAAAGGCTTTCTTTCAACAGAAGAAAAGGACAAATGCAATTCTTTTTGTTGCTGTTCACTATATGAGAATTTGCATCAGTAAATATTCCATACGGATGTTCTTATTGCTATATGTTATAATATTTTCAATAATTGAAGAATAAAATGTTCATGATGCCAGTTTCTATCTTTAGCTTCTCAGCTAAACAGACTAGAATACTCTGATACAGAAAGGACTAAAACAAAATTGAAAAATTAAAAATTTTAAAGAAATATTAAAAAATATGTTTTTAAAAACTGGGATCAGCAATAATTGAGAAGCTATGCAGAGTTATTAATAGGATATTTTGGTCACTGTATATCAATTTCGGTATTTAGAAAAAATATGCTATTACTGTAGGCCCTACAAAATAATCAATTCACTTGTATATTGTCCTCAGTGAAGTTTCTCTTGTCTCTCTTTTAGGTATGAGACAATAAAGCCACATGGTAAACTGACTAAAATCAAACAAAAAGAATGAGCTGTTCAAAAGACCCAGAACTTGTGAGAAAGGCTGTGGATTTGGGAGAAAATAGCTGAAAGGCTCCTGGGAAAAGGGATATGTCTGAGACCAGGAATCAGGAAAAAATTCAAAGAGAGTGCTTATGGCTTGGCATTGGGAAGGCAAATGGGGACAGGAGGTAGAGATGGAGTAGGGTCCACTCCTATGCAACATCAGAAAGCTGACTGATTGGGTGAGTTTATGTGAGGTGCCTAGTGCCAGGAGCTTCAAGCAGTGCCATGGCTTTAACAGGCATAAGACCTTTGTCACCTTCTAAGGAAGAAAGATGGAGGATAAACTCCACAACAATTTAAAGCCAAATGAAATTGCAGTATTTGCACCATAGTACAAATGAATCACTACAATTTGGCCAAGGGCTAGCAGTAGATACTTAGCTGTGGCTAATGTGAGGCTTTGTACTTGTAGATGGGGAGTGAAGTGTCTCCATGTTAGGGATAGCTCTGAAAACTGGAGGGTGTTCCATTTTCTTTTTCTAACAGCCAGAATTCCAAATAGTAGCCACTTCTGCTTGTCAAATCCCATTAAGATGAATACCATGAGACTGTTTAAATATTGAATCCTACTGAAATTGTGATCAATCGACCAGTGATTAGAAAAGGCTCGAATAGCCTTGTTCCCTCTTCCCCATCTTGGAGCTAATGTTGTTTTTTAAAGTCTGAATGATTTTTCTTTGGCAAAGGGGTTGAGAAATCATCTGAAAGTGGTGGTAAGATTTCTGAAGTAAGTAGAGGTTTAGAAGGATACCCCCCCACCCTTTTTATGAGGGAGTCCCATACAGAGTTTTCTCTTCCTTGTGCTGAGAAATGTAGCTAAATTAATTTGGAAGATTGGGTCTATATGGGGGAACAAAACAGGGTTATAAAACAATTTCACTTATTTGAATACCAAAGTCATTGCAGTTTAGAATCTTGCTGTGTAGATACCAACTGGCTACCTGTAACAATGATAAAAGATCACATTGCATCTTTAATATATAGTTTAGAAAATATATTTTTGTCCTTTGTAAAAAAGTTAATTAAGGTCAAATGTTAGCATATTTTCCAGTTAAATAGTATTGTTTGACATCTACTTAAAAGCTCGAGTAAGCTAACAAATGAGAAAAGGTCAAATTCAAACCACTTAAGACCAGTAGTAGTTCATAAACTATGACAATTTAAATGTACTACATTTCTTTTTTTTTAAAATGTACTACATTTAAAAGGTATCATCAAACTTTTACTGGAAATACCCAAACAGATCAAGGATTTTGTTAATAGTTCTTTTGTTAAGAACCACCAGGGTGATGAAATGAATTTTTTGAGATCTGCTTTCAAATAATCTAGTAGTATATGAAATACATATAAAACAAGATTGGCTATATGCTAACTATTGAAGCTGAGGGTTCATTATACTGTGATCTCTACTATTTGTCTGTTTGAAATTTTCCATAATAAAAAATATAAAAATAAATGCTGGCTGGCCGGTTAGTTCACTTAGGAGAGTGTTGTGCTGATAACACCAAGGTCAAGGGTTGAGATCCCCTTAAGAACCAACAGTCAAAAAAAAAAAAAAAAAAATGCTGACAGAGTAACATCACAGTATATTAAAAAAAAAAAAAAGGCCCATGAGGTTCATCATAGAAGATAGAGGTGGATCTATACTTCAAACTATGCTGCTGAAAACCTGAAACTTTGTAAGGAAAGCTATGAAGATAAGCAACAGGTGAGATTAGACAAGTTAAAGAGTAAATACGTTATTAACCTCAAAGTTTCAAATCCCAGGTACAGAAATTATGATATAGCTGCCACCATCCAACTGATTTATTATAATACCAGGAATAGGGAGTTTTAAAATACTTTAATTTTTAGACATGTACAAACAGTTCAAGTTTCTTATAAGAAACAAAACTAACTATTCAATTTCTAAAAAACAGACAAAATCAAATACCAGAGGCTGATTGAATGAAGCACAATGCCTTGGAAACCGGGAAGTTAGCAACTGAGCAAACACAAAGGAAGAATTCTATTATTAGCAAATGCTTATAACTCAAAAAGGCAGGTGGAAGATTTTATTATATGGTTCTACGTCATAAGTTGCTGTGCAGAGTAAATGAGTTAATACAAGTAAAGTGCTTAGAACAGTTTCTGGCACATAGTAAGTGCTATGTCTGAGTTAGCTATCATTATTGCTAGTGTTATTATCATGCTGATGCATTACTAATAGTGTTTCTTTTCAGATGTTAATATCCGTGATTTCACTTGGCAAAATTTAACTAGAAAGCCATGGCTGTGCATTCCTTTTTTTTTTTTTTAAATTTTACTTCTCAAAATACATTGTACGTGATTTTCGTGCCCCTTTACCTGTTCCTCCCCCCTCCCCACATCGTATCTGTTCACTTGACTTAAATAGTTCAAGGAATTTTTGTGGTTATTCTGTCTCCCCCCCCCCCCCAAAGCCCCCCTTTATTTGTTTGTGTGTTTATTTATTTATTTAATTTTAGCTCCCACAAATAAGTGAGGATATGTGGTATTTCTCTTTCTGTGCCTGACTTGTC